TGGATCCCGGTAGACAAAGATGAGTGAGTAATTGAGAGGTTTTGTGTGCATTTCGGATTGTGAGGGCGATTGTTACTTTCCGGCTGCCCACACCGTGGAAGTTGGTTGCGTGACCGCAGAGCCCAGGGGACAATTGCTTGAGGCCGGTCACACGCGGCCTGTTTTTGTTCGTTCTTTTTTGTTTGGTGTGTCTCAGTAGCAGATTTATCACTCCTGCCCTGTGACACGGCAGCAGGAGGCGCGGTCGTTGTTAATCAGGGCCACGGCCGATCTGGCATGAAATTTTGTGATTTTGTATTCGACATGATGTTGGATTGGGTAGCTGCTTTTTGTTTAACCGCTATCCAAACAACCTGCCTGGCATGGTAGTACCTCAAGAGACATAAGTTTCAGCCAGTATAGCTTGAATAGATCATTGCGGTGTTCAAGCCCGACCACCACGTCAAGGTAGCAGCTTTCGGTTGGGGAATTCCAAGAAAATATATTGCACTGATTAAGGCACTCTACTCGTACTCATACAGCCAGGTGAGGGCTTACGGCGAGCTGTCATCTGAACTGATGACGACCAGTGGTGTCCGTCAAGGATGCCCATTATCTCCTTTTCTATTCAACTTCATCATAGATGTGTTAATGGACTTAACCCTAGGTGACTTCAGCGACTCAGGGATTGACTTGCTACCGGGGAATAATCTCGTTGACTTGGAATATGCAGACGATATAGTCCTTCTAGGCGAAGACGCTGACGAAATGCAGAGTCTTCTAAACACCTTGAGCCGCAATCTACGAATGTTTGGAATGCGATTCGCTCCCGCCAAATGCAAGATGATGTTACAGGACTGGACTACATCGACGCCTAGTTTAAAAATAGGAAGTGGAGTGGTAGAGCACGTTGACCGCTTCACTTATTTGGGAAGTACCATCAGCCCCAACGGGTTGATCTCTGACGAAATCTCAGCACGAATACAGGGGGCTCGTTTCACATTTGTTAGTTTACGCCGACTCTGGCGTAGACGAGATGTTCGACTATCGACCAAAGGGCGGGTGTACTGCTCATCAGTCCGCTCCGTCCTCCTTTATGGTTGTGAGACCTGGCCACTGAGAGTAGAAGACATGAAAAACTAGCTGTCTTTGATCATAGGTGCCTGCGTTCTATTTCCCGTGTAAAGTGGCATAATAAGGTGAGCAACATTGAGGTTAGACGTAGAGTTCTAGGTAAACAGGGGAAATCAATCGACGAAGTCGTGAAGCTACAAAGACTGAGATGGTTAGGACATGTGTTACGTATGCCAAGCCATCGCCTCCCTCGACGAGCTATGTTAGCGGATATAGGTCAGGCTGGAAAAAAGCTAGCGGCGGTCAAACAAAAACTTGGCATCAGTCAATGAAATCCACAACAGTTGGTCATAGCCACGTAGAAAGGTGTAGACTTCCAGGCTGGGGTCCTCGGGACGGTAAAAATCTATGGTTGGAAACAATTGGTGACATGGCTCAAAACCGTTCTCAGTGGCGCAGATGCATCCACTCCCTGTGACTTATGATCTTCGATGAAACTGTTTTGTTTTTCTTTATTACTCCTTTATCTCACACCTATGCTCACTGTTTCTATTATGCTTTTCTTGTACTTTCTTCTGTTGCTTCGCGTGCTACACGGAATGTGGCGACTGGAACTTCCGTACATTTGTGCAAAGTTCTATGTCGAAAACAGACAGACAGGCAGACAGGATCCCGGTAGATAGCCGAATGTTTGCTGCGAAAGGCTAAACACTCAGATATAGTCGTTCTAGCTGGTGACTTTAATGCTCAAGTAGGGAAATTGTGTCAATCTGAGAAGGATGTCGGTGGCACCTATGGAGTTCCGTGCCAGCGAACCGACAACGGTGACCGTCTCCTACAGTTCTGTTCAGATAATCATTTGTTTCTTGTAAGCACTAACTTCAAACACAAGGAGAGACACTGTTTGACCTGGCGACCCCCTTCATCAAACCAACGCTGGACACAAATAGACCACATAGCAATAAGCTATCGTTGGCGTGGGTCGGTAGGAGATTGTCGCTCCTTCTGGAACACGTGTGTAGATACCGATCACGCACTGGTCCGGGCTCGTGTGTGCTTACGACTGAACGGACGTAGGAAACAGCTGGCGGTAAAACCATCACGTCCCCAGCTCGATCAGGAAACTAAATCCCTATTTGAGGAAGAACTAGCTAAACACATATCTGAGTTCGACAGCTGTGCTCACCCTGGAGAAGCCTGGAAGAATATTCAGTCAGCCATAGATACAGCTGTAAAAGCTGTGAATAAGGCAAATCCAAAGGTGAGTAAAAACCACTGGATTTCGACTGCCTCATCCGAACTGATAGATGCTAGAAGACTTATTCCGGCGAGCTCCGAATTCAATGAGGAGCGAAAGCTGCACAAAAGGAAACTTACTAAAAGTCTCCGCAAGGACCGTGAACAGTGGTGGGTGACAAAGGGAAAGAGATGGAAAAAGCATCGGCGATAGGCAACTCTTTAGACTCATCAGGGAAACGGGGGGAGAAGGCAAATCATAAGTGAGACTATTTCTGAGAAAAATGGCTCCTTAATTAGCTCTCAGGATAGACGCCTTGAACGCTGGAAAGAACACTTTGAGGAACAATTTAACTTGCCTACAGCCACACTGAACCTCCCCACATCCAACACACCCGAATGGGATATAGACACTGGTCCGCCGTCTGTAAGTGAGGTCACAAAAGCTATCAGTAATTTGAAACGAGGCAAAGCGGCAGGACCCGACGGAATTATTCCGGAGGTGTTTAAATATGGGGGTGACATACTAGTTTGTAGATTAACTGAGGTACTAGGCAAAGTCTGGGAATCAGAGACAGTTCCATCAGACTGGGGTAAGTCACTTATTATACCGATATTCAAGAAGGGAAACAAGTCCTCGTGTGATAATCATAGGGGGATCAGCCTAACGAACATAGTCTCTAAAATCCTAGGCTCAGTAATCATGCATAGACTAAGCAGAACTCGGGAGGAACAGACAAGGGAAAATCAAGCAGGCTTTAGACCAGGTAGAGGGTGCATAGATCATATCTTCACTCTTCGACAGATTCTAGAACATAGACACACTTTTCGGCGTCCAACAATTGTCATATTTCTTGACTTGAAGGCGGCCTTCGACTCCGTGGATCGAAAGGTACTATGGCAATGTCTGACTGTGAAGGGAGTGCCAAGAAAGTACATTGCACTAATCAAGGCACTCTATTCAAACTCACGTAGTCGTGTAAGGGCTTATGGGGAATTGTCATCTGAATTGGTAACAACCAGTGGTGTCCGACAGGGATGTCCACTTTCCCCATTTCTGTTTAACTTCATCATAGATATGCTGATGGAAGTATCCTTAACTGAACGTAATGACTTAGGAATCGACTTGTTACCAGGGAATAGTCTTATGGACTTAGAATATGCAGATGACATAGTCCTGTTAGGGGAGGATGCTGACAAAATGCAGAGTCTTCTGAACACCTTGAGCAGCAATCTTCGTATGTTTGGCATAAAATTCGCCCCTAGCTTAGTGACCACTTCACCTATTTGGGAAGTTGTATCACGACCAACGGGCTGATTGGCGACGAAATCTCAGCACGGATCCAAAAAGCTCGAGCTGCTTTCGCTAACTTACACCATCTCTGGCGCAGGCGTGACATCCGGCTGGCTATCAACCAAGGGACGTGTGTACTGCTCATCAGTTCGCTCCGTCCTTCTCTATGGCTCTGAAACATGGTCAATACGAGTTGAAGACATGAAAAGGTTGACTGCTTTCGATCACAGATGTCTGCGATCTCTGTCTCACATTAGGTGGTTTAATAAGGTAAGTAATGTTGACGTTAGGCGTAGAGTGTTGGGCAAAGAGGGAAAATCAATCGACGAGGATATAAAGTTACATAGATTGAGATGGTTAGGTAACGTGCTGCGCATGCCTAACCATCACCACCCCTGACGGGCATTGCTAGCTGATATAGGTGCAGGTTGAAAAAGGGTAAGTGGTGGCCAAACAAAAACATGGCCATCAATCCATGAAATCCTTGACAGTTAAACTGAGTCAGGTAGGGAGATGCAGACTCCCGGGTTGGGGGCCTCGGGACTGTAGGAATCAATGGCTGTAGATAATAGGTGACATGGCTCAAAATCGTTGTCAGTGGTCAGCGCAGATGTATTCAGTCTCTGTAATCTTTCATATTTCTTTCTACCATTACCCATTCTGTTTCACTCTTATACTTGTCAGACTGTATTGATTCTCTTCACTCATCTTCTTGTCTACCTTTGTGTGCTATTTGGAACGTGGTAGCTCGAACTGCTGCACTTCGGTGCCAAGTTCTATGTTGAATCCAGACAGATAGACAGAACCATGTCATCCTCAGGCTTACGCCCAGATCGCCGCTTTCTATTCAGTTTCTTTTAAGAACTTGGCCCACTATGTCGCTCGACGGTTTTCTCACTGTGTTTCCGATCCATCGCCTTTTTCTCCGGCATATATCCTTGGCAATAGGTTCTTACTTGGTTCATTTCCAACAGCTATCTGATCATCATTATGGAGCGAAGGCACCTATCGATAAATGTCTGAGGCTTGTTAAAAATGCTTTTGATGTCTCATGCTGGTATTCTCTGACTGTCTGTCTGTCTGTTTTCGACATTCTCTGAACCATAGAGAAGCCCTGACTTGACATTAGTATCGAAGATATGAATCTTTTTTCTTTATGATGAGTGCAGCAAGTTTCTATATTGATTTCAGGTTAGTGAAAGTCTGTCTTGCTTTTCTCATTTTGGCTGGACTTGACATCCTAATCCGTGCCGCCTGTAGTTGAAACCATGCTAAATAGATAGGTGAGAGATATGACTTCTTTATTTCAATCAATTATTCTTGCATAATTATTCTGAAAATAATAGAAAGTCCGTACAGAAATATTTTATAATATTCATGGCTAACTAACATTGTTTTCTTTTGAATTCTTCGTTAGCAATCCGAATATATGGCCAATGAATTATATAGTTCAAGAGAATCATAACCTTACTACCTAACATCATAAAGCACAACTGTCAAACTACATAGACTACTTGGCTATCATCATATGTTTTATAATTTTTTGTATTAATTTCTCAATTCTAAATCAGATTTATCAAATCACTTGTTATTCAGCTATGGCTGATGAAGGTTTGTAAAGTTTAGAATTTAAATGATTATTGTCAAGTAGATGATGATCGTTCAAATGAAGAAGATTTCCAGGAGTCTGATTTTCGTAATGAAGGTGTTGGAGAAGAGCTCACAGATGTAGAGGTTGAATCGCTGAAAAGGGAATTGCAGTCAGAGATTTCAGAGTTGGAATGGGAATTTAAACAAGTCAAAGAGTTACTATACAATGAAAGATTAATGCAAGCAGAGAACAAATTATCTCAAGCCAAATCGGGTACTGCACCAGAATTTCTTCATGTTGTATCTTTGGTCGAAGAAACATACAAGATTAGATCACAGGTATACCATTTTTTATCTTATTTTAGTGGATGTTTCTTTTAAACTGTGTATTAAGGTTAATATCTTGAATCAGATGGACACTCATCATCAGAAGGGGATAATAATCGACGAATAATGGTCACTTCTGTGTCCAGTGATGATCCCTTGAGAACAGATCAGTTTTATATGTACTTCTCAGCTTTTCAATGATTATTCAGCCTACGAAAACTCACAATAAGATTGCTTTTGTTAGTTAATTTATTAAGGAAAGGCAATCGACTCACTGACTTATTAACACCGAACTTTTTTGCACAAAACTGCACCAGTTCAAGTTGCTACACTTCAAATAAGCATACATTATTCTAAAATCAACAAATATTGTGAAACTGAAATGGACGAAGATGTACTGTAAAAAATGTGGTTAGGTAAACACCAGTCAGCAATTTTAGGATATGCATAATAAAAAGGAGTGAACACATCTTCTGTGCTTTTGAGAACCGGGTCATCAATACTTTTCAGACACGAATTTCGGCATCCCGAAGATACTATTCAAACCATTTACGCTTCTGTACGTAGCTTAAACCAATAGCCAAGGGCTTTTCGGCCTAGTGTGGTGTCCTCGCCTGACTACCTCACTGTTCTTACACGCCTGCTACTGGCAATATTAACATGCTCTCATTCCCATTCTCTGCCATAATGCAAGCAAATTACATTATTTGACCCGCTGCTGTTAGTCTTATTGCTATTCAACCAAGCTTTCTAGTAAGCTAGCATTCCAAGAGACAACTGTTTCATTCTGTGCACCTTGTTAATTCATTACGAATATGGCTCTTTGTATTCAGTAGTAGCCCTCAGTCTGGATCGATTTTCAGACTACATACATATTAACAGTGTTTTTTGCACCAATAAGTCTCCAATTTCTACCTGTTTATGTCTGGAGGGTATACCTTAGCTTGGTGCTCCCATTATATGTTAGTATCACACTCACATATATTGAACTCACTCTAACATAGCCAACGAAAAGCATAGCTCCACCTACCTAAGGGCCTTTATTTAGCCATTTATTTTTGCTGCCTGCCAAAGAAGTCATAATGAATACTTTCAGACGGCTATAAAAGAATGGGTCTCAGTCATCGCTGTCAAGGGGAACAAACCCCCTTATGTTTAAATCGATTACCTGTATTGTGGTCTTTTGAGCAAGTGTACGTATTTTTTCACAAATCTATCCTGCAGTGCAATTTCTGGCTCAACTATGCTTGAGCGATCCGGATTGTTTAGGCTCGCTGCCTTCAGCTTTCAAACAAACAGTCTTAATTTAGACTTCAGAAAGTCGTTCAGGCGTGTATCGGGTATTTTTGCGCATTCGTCTCAATTCTGAACACGCTTTGAATTGTTATTGATATCATCCTGTTTTCGATGACTAACAAAGAAACTGGCGTATGTGGGTTGATTACATTAAGTTAGGCTTCAAGTTAGTTACTGATTCTTGAGAAAGTAAAAACGAACTGATATATTTACAAGATAATAATCTATCTAATAAAGAGGTCTATAAAGAACTCCATATGTTGAATATTTCAGTCTTATTTAGCTTCCTTTTTCTAGTTCAAAAGACGGCCTTGTCAGTAATATGATAAAATCACGACAAATTGTTGTCCATAGCTCTGGAATAAGCAGTTTGCTTACAAACAGGGTGGAAGTACTTTAGACGCTGCTGCTGTGTTTCATCACAACATTGTATCCTCTTTAGACAAAGGGGCCAAGTATGTCCGTTGTACGTTCCTTGATTATACATCTGCTTTCGACCCTGTACCTAGAGGCCATTTGTTAAACAAGCTTAGTCTTACACAAAGTGAGTCCTGGGCTATCAACTGGCTGCACTCTTACTTCTCTAATAGGATGCAGTACACGGTATATAATGGTGTATCTTCCTCTCCTCTGCCTACTGAAGCTGGAGTTCCTCAGGGTGCTGTTCTCTCTCCGTTTCTATTTTCCTTCTTCTTACATCTTTCAGACGAGATCAACTTCGTCAAATATGCAGAGACCTGACTGTTTCGCTTCCCGTTAAGTCTCAATCAGACTGTTTAAATTAAATAGCTTCCTGTAGGGCATCAGTCAGTGGTCTAAACTAAATGGCCCCATGTTGAATCCCTCAAAATGCCAGACTATTGACTTCTCTTTTAGACATAAACGAGATTTACAAACACTACTAAGTACTCATGAAGCCTGTAGCATTGAGGGGACTAAAATTGAAACTAAGTGTAACGCAAAATACCTCGGACCAGTTCTATCTTCCGACCTTACATGGTCATCTCGTATCCTAACGATTTCCAAGAAAGTGTTCCGTCTAGCCTACTACATTAAGAAACTTAGACTAACCGGAATCACTCACCCTCTACTTTCACAATTTGTCAACTCTCCTATCTTACTTATTCTACTTTACTCCTCCCCATTAGTCTTTCCTGGGCTACTGAAAACGGACTATACCATCCTGTAAAGGATGTTGAAGGTAGTTAGTAGGAGTAGTGGTGTAAAACTCAGTCAGCTCGTCACTACATTAGTAGAAAGGCATCTGAATACATGCAAAAAATGGTCTAAAACCCCCAACACCCCCTCTATTCCCACTTCTCTCCTTGTATCTCATCAAGTAGAACCAGAAATCAGTATAAAATAATATATGCTCGTACAACCAAGTATAGGAACTCAACGACACCATATTTGGCCCGTGTTCTAAGTGACAGAGACAATGTTAAGCGTGAAACCTATGACTTGCTTTGTTGCTGGCTCTTTTACTTTTCTCTTATTTGTATTCTATAGTGAACACCTTCTTAAACATACTTAGCTACCTAAATCATTAACATTGGCTTACTTTTTTGTACTTTACTCTATTCCCTCTTTTGTGGATCTACTGGTTCCGACTATATTAGCACTATGAGTATTACAAAATTGTCCTGTCAATAATCATCATGTAATATTAGTTTTGTGGTTGTTTTTTGTTCGGCAATATTAACTGACAATCTTGGTTGAGAATGCCATTATTACCACCTTAAAAATTCTGTATTATGCATGATTACCCACACTACCAATACAAACACCGCATTAGAGCTGACGATAAAAAAACAACCTGAAATGTTTATTTTATGATTGTTTAGTGTAGTTCAATCAAATTAACTGATCATCTTGGTGATAAACATTCTTAAATATCATTTTCATAATTTCTTGTATGATTATAGCTGTTACTGTTCACCTCGCATGCACATATCATAGCTTCCACTACCCAATACTGAGATATTTATTATGTTGTGTATTTTCCATTTTACTTCTTAGTATTTTTTTCTCCCCTTTTTTTTGTTATTTTGTGTGTTTTTTTGTTGTTTTTTACATTTATTTTTTGAAATACTCCCCTTAAATGTTTGATAAAATTAGATGCAATATTGTAGATAAGAGCTGAAAATTCCACACTGTACCACTAGTACTGTCTCTGGAATAAAGGCGAAATTATTACTATTAAAAAAAGATTAAGGCAATTTTTTCACCTATTTAAAAAAATGTCAAATGGTGTTTATAAAATTAGTTTTGATATAACAGTTTGTTATATGATGAAGTACACTAAAAGTAGCCATCATTCTTATTCTGTGCTTGCAATGAAAACTACAAGAAAAAGTTGATTTTTGAGAACTAAGCTATCAATATTTATAAATAAAATATATAATTCTTAGTTTAATGAAACAAAAAGAAAATTTTTTAGTCCGAATTCATGTTGTTTACCGATATCATAATCGATTATAGTCGTCTACTGTTTGATATGGTACTGCACTAAGATTTTTGAATTTTCCAAAGAATGGCTACTGAACAAAGAGTACTCCTTTCGATAACTTCATCATCATGCTCGACAGTTATATATACATTATAGTGAATGAATGAATGAATTAGTGTTATGAACAACATCAAGGTTGTTTAAATAACATCGAATCAATAATATTGATAGATTATAGCTCAATAGCATCAACAAAATAAGCTGAATGTCAGAAAAATTAAGAAAGATAATATTACAAATTCATGAATTTATAGTTTCTACTGAAGGCCAGGGCAGTAGTAGGGGCTGGACTTGCTTCTTTTGAACACAGAGCACTGGCTGCTCGAGGCGAATTGCAATAGCCTCTGCTGTTTGGAGTGTGTGGTGCTTCAATGATTTTGGCAATTTATTAGGCACCCGGTAGATTATAGAGAAGGATTCTTCCCCGCTGGCTGGCTTTGTGGCCGGCCGGTTTGCACCAGATGGTCCAATATCGAACTGTTAATGGTTTTAACTACGCCTTTACTTAGTCATAGTGAGATATGTTCTCGAGCACGAAAAGTCAAGTTCCTAGAGCAACGGCCAATATAACTCGCTCCACCAAAAGCGCAGTTGAATTGGTAGATACAATTTGAAGTGGCTAGTCTAAGTACATCATCTTTCAGTCGAGGTAGCACCATCGGTTGTGTAGAGAATAAGACGTGTAGTTCACCAGCATTAAAAGTTCTTTGAACAGATTTTCCTAATTTCCCCGTAATTATCTCACTTGGTATATCGCCCTTGGATCGTAGTCGTATATGAAGTGGCTTCTTGTTTAGAGATAGTGAGTAGTCCTTTTCCGCTTGCTTTGTTCAGTATCCATTCTTTTGAATATTTGAATTTCAAAAGGCATCGTATGATACTAAACTTGACTACCATGTAAGCTTGTCAATATGAATTGAATAATTCCATCTATTGGGGGAAAGGAGATGTGTTCCCAAAACTAATGATGATAGAGACGCTAATAACTTAGTTAGGCATCGGTCGAGTTCTAGGTAAACAGGGGAAATCAATCGACGAAGTCGTGAAGTTACAAAGACTGAGATGGTTAGGACATGTGTTACGTATGCCAAGCCATCGCCTCCCTCGACGAGCTATGTTAGCGGATATAGGTCAGGCTGGAAAAAAGCTAGCGGCGGTCAAACAAAAACTTGGCATCAGTCAATGAAATCCACAACAGTTGGTCTAAGCCACGTAGAAAGGTGTAGACTTCCAGGCTGGGGTCCTCGGGACGGAAAAAACCCAAGGTTGGAAACAATTGGTGACATGGCTCAAACTCATCGTTCTCAGTGGCGCAGATGCATCCACTCCCTGTGACTTATGATCTCCAATGCAACTGTTTTGTTTTTCTTTATTACTCCTTTGTTTCACACCTCTGCTCACTGTTTCTATTATGATTTTCTTGTACTTTCTTCTGTTGCTTCGCGTGCTACACGGAATGTGGCGACTGGAACTTCCGCACATTTGTGCAAAGTTCTATGTCGAAAACAGACAGACAAACAATAACTCAGTTTAAGAGAAATTGTGTATAGTTGAAAATAGGTGGTTTGTGAAATATGAAACAAAAAGTAATGATTTTCATTCCAGTACTTTTCAATTATACCTGAAGTTTGTTTTATTGTGTATGCAGAATACAAAACAACACTTCAGAATGTTCGTCGCCTTTGGAGTCACGAGCGGCAGCGCTTTGGGCCACTTAATCCTGTGTGTGTGTGTGTGATCAACAACACTATTCAGAAGTGTTAATGCAAATAAAACCGTGACTCATTCTGTCTGTACCACCAAAAGTGAGTTTTTATTTTACTTTGTGTGAATGAAAGCCATCTCAGTGACTTTCTGTGTCATCTCTTACACAACAAACCCTGGTCCTTATTTGTTTGTTTTTCCTTTGAAGGTGGCAAAGTACAGAATGCAGTTCTCTGTAGAAATAGTCAATAAAGAGGTGGATAACGAATTACTAGTTGTTGAATGTGATGCCAAAGAGCGACTTCTAGCAGCTGAAGAACAGATTCGTGTACGTCTTCAAGAGAGTATTTGTAAACTTCAATATGAGCGTATTGCTCGTGGATATAAAACTCCTAAAAGTAAGTACAAAAATGTCTTTATAGTTACAATTAAATAAGCTAAGACATTTACTGCTATTGCCGAATCAACGCCTTCCTTATCAAGTGACGTCAACTGAAGTTTTATTAAGTTTTGTTCAGTTGAATTTATTGGGTTAGTAGTTGAAGACTGTCGTTGACATAGTGTAAAGTTATTCATTAGGGTGCCAGTTTCTCCCCTCTTATGTTCATTTTTGCTTGTTAGTTTTACTGTATTGTGATTCACATCTCTTGCAGTTGCTTCGAAGTAGAACTTTGCATTTAGGTGTAGCAAAGTGACTCACTGGCTGAAGTTCCCAGCTTTTATTCACTGGGTTCCAGATTCCAACCCCGCTGCACCTACCTCAGTCTGGGTAACTCTTTAGTATCACCCAGCCTTCACACAATAAGAATGTGTCGCTCTTAGTCTGGAACATGAACGACCTTTTCTAGGAACTGTGTTCAAAAGAATTTAGGGGCAACAGTCCGACTTGTCACACTTCGTCAAGATGGAGAAAAGAAATCCAATTAAACAACAATAAACGGAAATATTCAAGAGGAAGACAAACTAAATATATTTACTCCTCAGTGAATATGGACTTTGTAATTAGCAAATTAGTAGTAGTATACAATCTCCAGGTCTTGTCCTTAATGAACATGAGGTGTGTATTAACTTATTCAATAAAATTCTATTGTTCTTCCATATTACTATTCTGTTCCCCTCACACTGTTGTTTATTATCTTTCTTTACTCTCTTCTCTTGCTTTGTGTGCTAAATGAAGTGTGGAAACTTGAACTGCTGCACATCTGTGCAAAGTTCTACGTTGAAACCAGTTAGTCAGTCAGTTATTCCACTCGTGGCTAAGACATACTGCGGTGTCTGCTACTGATAAGATTTATCAGTAGTATGTAAAAGGGCGGTCATCAGCGTAAAAATATCACGTAGCAGGGAAATAGATTTTGATGTCAGAGAAAGGAAATGATTCAGCGTAGTGGAGATAAATGGCAGACGTGAAAAGAGCACAAAGAAACACATTATGAAGACGAGAAGTAGCACAACACGGAAGATTTGTGCAAATGGTGCGTTGAAGATAAGCTGTGCATAATTTAGCTAAACAAAGATATCCTTTACCAAGCCTTTGTCCTCTACAATCACAATACTAGTCTTAGTGTTCTATACGACAGGGTACATCATTATTTGTGATCACAGAGTGAAGTGAAGGTGCCTCACCAATCCGAAGAATAGTACAAACTGTCTCTGGCGTAGATGGCTATCGACCAGAGGGCAGGTGTACTGCTCAGCAGTCTGCTTCGTCCTCCTTTATGGCTGTGAGCGAGACCTGGCCATTGAGAGTGAAAGACATGAAAAGATTAGCTGTCTTCGATCATAGGTGCCTGCGTTCTATCTCCCGTGTGAAGTGGTATAATAAGGTGAGCAATATTGAGGTAAGGCATCAGTCGAGTTCTAGGCAAACAGGGGAAATCGATCAACGAGGCTGTGAAATTACATCGACTGAGATGTTTAGGACATGTGTTACGTATGCGTACCTAGTCATCGCCTTCCTCGACAATGGGCAATGTTAGCTGACATAGGGTCAGGCTGGAAAAGAGCTAGAGGCGGTCAAATTAAAACATGGCTTCATCAGTCAATGAAATCCACAACATTTAGTTTAAGCCAGTCACGTAGGAAGGTATAGACTTCCTAGTTGGGGTCCTCGGGACAGTAAAAACCAATGGTTGGAAACAATTGGTGACATGGCTCAAAATCGTTCTCAGTGACTGGCAGATGCATCCACTCCTTGTGACTTGTGATTTCCAATGAAACTATATTGTGCTTCGTTATTACTATTCCTTTGTCTTACACCTTTGCTTACTGTCTGTATTATGCATTTCTTCTACTTTCTTCTGTTGCTGTGTGTGCTACATGGAGGGAGTGTGGCGACTTGAACTGCTGCACATCGGTGTAAAGTTCTATGTCGAAAACAGACAGACAACAGCACACAAGATTATGCGGCAACTGAATTATTCATTGGCAACTCCGTGTACAGATATATGCAACTTATGTCTACCATATATGGTTTACAATTTGCACATATCTTTGATATTGTACTTCTTTGTATTCCTGTCACGTTTTCCATGTTGCTTCACAAGCACCCATCTCTCCACAATTCGATATTCTTGTAGATGGTGTACATATTTAATGTCTCTATCCATATACTAAATTATAAATCTTGTCACTAGCACACGATACGCAGATATTATTTGCTAAAAATTATAAATAATCAGTCATAAGCTTAACATTTACGGTGAATATCAATCACTCATACTTATTTTAGGCCATACATTATTTTTTATATAAACTGACATTCACTCTGCCTATATTTATGGTTTCTTTTTGGCGTATTACAGATGTTGATAAAGAATCTTCAGTATCTTCAGATCAATCTGATATTTATCTCCCTAGTCCAAATCTTGAACCTCGAAGAAAACCAGTTGCCCTATCTCCGACCACTCCAAAACTTATTTATCAAATTCCTGAGAAAGATATTCGATCAGATATTGAGTTTATTTTAGCAGCTGTGAAAGTGAGTTTAAGAATTATAAAAAAGGCGTTGTTTGTTACCATCTGTATTTTAGAGATTTCACTTACTCTAGTAGTATATAGACGTGTAATTTTCAGCCAGCAGGAGGAGTTGGTCATTAGTTTGGGTATTTAAGATCTCGTCGTTGTTGTTGTTTTTGCTAGAATAATGATAAAATACAGTCTAGTCTACTAGATTGTGACTTCAAGTAAATCTAACTGTCCTTCATTGTGACAAGCTACGTATGAAACTTGAAAAGGACCTTCGCAATTTGATGTGACAATTTGTCATTCACGCGTCTCGCTGCTGCTTTCAGTTGAACCACACTCAGTAAAATAAAGTTTGATATAAAATAAAAGGCGGTCAGTGAAGAGGTATTCTTTTCAGTGATATTCTTAAGCTGTATGATCACGTATGTATATATCCCCTCATCAACAGAAAGAATATTTCCAAACTAGGACGAAACAGCTGTCCAGTATTCCCTGTAGGTTTTCCTATGTCAGCTCATGATGAAATCCTGCAACCAATCAACCAAATCCCTACAAACCAACACTGAAATATCGATGAGATGCTCACTAGTGACTTGCCCTACTCAGGTAGGTGGTTACCTGGGGTTCTAGTGAGAAGTCGTGACCAGTAGGGTGCAGCAGGTCGGGTGTGAGGACAAATACTTGTCGAAGACATTGGCTTGGGGTCACACTATGTCATGAATTGGCAGAAGTTAGAATTCATGGGTTGGCCATTGGATCGGGTCCCAGTGGCTTAATGGTATACAAGCTCGCCTTGTTACCAGAAGGTCCTGGGTTCGAACCCCGTCGGTGGTTGCGTACTGCTGAAGAGTCCTGAACTTAGGACGAAACAGCTGTCCACTACTCCCAGCTGGTTTTGCAATGGTTCTCTAAGTGATGTCAGCCTCTGATGAAATCCTGTAATCAACCAACCAAATCTCTACAAACCAACACTTGAATAAATGTGTCATTTAAGTTGTAAATTTCATATAACAAACAAAGTAATATAGAAAGTGATAATCGGATAGAAACTGAAATAAGATTAAATAAGTAAATTGAGTGACGTGATATAGTTGATGGGATGGGATAGGATTAAGCTAAAATTGAACGAGAGTCAAGTTAACCACAGTGATGATAAGGGGGGTAGAAATTCATCGGTGGGGACAGGGGACGCAATACAATTAAAAAACAAGAGAAAAATATGTATCCGGTGTTAAGACAGATTAGATCCATTTTAGGTGTTTAGTGACTGAAAAAACTTCTCTTGTGTGCGGAATTCGGGATTTAACATGTGAATTACCATTGCTTCTGTGGCTTGGAGAGAAGTTTGATTCATACTCCTTTGACAAGATTCCCGCGTGTTCTGTAGATGACTTTTAGGTTGGTTTGCGGGTTAGCTTGATATCCAGATTCGATCGGGTGTTCCAGGACAGCATTGGGGAGAGAAGGAATCTTTTTGTCTCCTTTATAAAACCATGAAGGTAAGTGTTCGATGATACGTTTAGGCTGCGAAAGCTGAGTACGGCCAACATATCTACTCCTACAGGAGCAATTGAGTTGATAGAAACACATCGATGAGACCAGGAGTTACAGCTTATCCTTCACGTTCATGAGAATCATTAGTTTTGTAGAGAAGGCTAGTCAAAGTTCTGCCACAAAGATAGTTTTCTTTAATTGAGTGGAATAGACGGTTTCTCACTATTTCTGCCCATGAGTCTCTATTGAATTGTAGATTCAGGTAGAGAAGTAAGTGTGGGAAATTTTTTATTCATTTAGGCTTCATGGATTTTGTGATGAAACCTTTTGGTCAGCCATTTTAAAGGAGAATCTTTTCAGAGTGGTCTGCTCCTCTTCCATAGCGTCAAGGCGGCAAATGTTGACACAATGAACAGTTGAGGTTTCGCTATGTACATTTTTTTCCTTCACGTTCCCAGTGGAACATAGGGCTTCAAGCTAGTGGCTTGAAGTTTCTGTAGCAGGGTTTATTTTACAGGATGGGGTTGCTCTTTCGCTGACTTACACCATCTCTGCGTAGGCGTGACATCCGGTTATCAACCAAGGGACGTGTGTACTGCTCATCAGTTCGCTCCGTCCTTCTCTATGGCTCTGAAACATGGCCAATACGCGTTGAAGACATGAAAAGGTTGACTGCTTTCGATCATAGATGTCTGCGATCTCTGTCTCACGTTAGGTGGTTTCACAAGATAAGTAATGTTGACGTTAGGCGTAGAGTGTTGGGCAAAGAGGGAAAATCAATCGACGAGGTTATAAAGTTACATAGACTAAGATGGCTAGGTCACGTGGTGCGCATGCCTAACCACCGCCTCCCCCGACGGGCATTGTTAGCTGATATAGGTTCAGGTTGGAAAAGAGCCAGTGGTGGCCAAACAAAAACATGGCATCAATCCATGAAATCCTTGACAGTTAAACTGAGTCAGGTAGGGAGATGCAGACTCCCGGGTTGGGGGCCTCGGGACTGTAGGAATCAATGGCTGTAGACAATAGGTGACATGGCTCAAAATCGTTGTCAGTGGCGCAGATGTATTCAATCTCTGTAATCTTTCATATTCCTTTCTACCATTACCCATTCTGTTTCACTCCTATATTTGTCAAACTCTATTAATTCTCTCCACTCATCTTCTTGTCTACCTCTGTGTGCTATTTGGAACGTGGCAACTCGAACTGCTGCACTTGGGTGCCAAGTTCTATGTTGAATCCAGACAGACAGCCTTATGTCCAACCTTTCCTCTTTACCAGCATTATTTGTGGGTTAGCGAGGTGAAGGATGAGTCGGCCGGGGATCGAACCCCGAACCATGTGCATGCTCGGCGAGCGTCCTAACCGCTATGCCACCGACGCACGCTATGTACATAGAAGCATTCAACCCTATGGGAGTTTATTAGTTTTCCGTTGCATATTGGCTTTCTGTAGGTGAATTGTTTTAGTATTCAATCGTATGAACTAACGCATTTTGTATGGTGCTTAAGTGTGATATAAAGTACTTGTAAACGTTTATGCACGCCTTTTATAATACAAAACAGCAGAAGTGTGTGTAAGGTAGAGAAAGAGATAGAGATGGGGCGAGGGAATATTCATCGGGTCACTTGTCTATAAAGTTTTTCTATTTTTCAAGAATTCACTGCTTTCCCTTTGAATATCTCTCTTTTCTGTATAGAAACACAAATTGGCCTTTGCTATATCTCAGTTCGACGGTGAGAAAATATCATTGTAATAAATGTAAATATGTATAACTTTATGTTGGCATTATTTTAATTTCTACCCTTCGCATAAATGATATATTGTATGTACTGATCAATAATATATAATTGTTTAATTTATTATGCAACCATAATTTTTATCTATACATATATATAATTTTTCTTCTAAAAATTGTATTTTGATTTTGTGAAGTCGTTTTACTACACCTTCACACTACATAGTGTAGTGTAATATTATATTATATTTCATTTGTCATATAGTTAAGATCACACAAGACAACAAAGAAATCTGTTTTTTGTAACTTCACTTCAATGCTCTGCAGTTATTTGATTATTATTATTTCCTTTAATTCCTAGAGGAACATAGGGCTTCAGCCGCACGTCTCCATTGAGTTCGGTTCTCTGCTAGAGTTTCCACCTGGCTCCAAGTCTGCCCATATGCTTTCATCTCCTCTTTACATGACCTCCTCCAAGTCACCCTCGCACTGATGACCAACTCGCCGCTTCTCCTTCGGGTTCCACTCGAGCTATGGCTTGTCTAGTGATGTCAGTTGATGGTTTCCTCAGAGTATGGCCAAACCACTTCCATTTCTTCCTGCTAATTTGTTGCACAACTGGTTCCTGCTGGGTTGGTTCGCTCCCAGAGATCACTATTGCTGATCCTTTCTGGCCATCTGATCTTGAGTGATGTACTGAGCGAAGACAACTGCTAATGTCTGTAGTTTGTTGGAGATGCTCTTTATGACTTACCAAGTCTCTGATCCGTATAGTAGCACTGACTTCACATTGGAGTTGAAAATCCGGATCTTATTTTTGATGGTGAGTGCTGTTGACCTCCACTTTACTTTTTTTTTTAACTTTACTTCGGCTATCTCCTACGGGAGGATGAGCCGGCTTCATGAACCATGAAGAGTAATGAAAGCTTGTCTTGCTTTCCCGATATCCTCGTCAGTTCCACCTGTAGTTGAAACGATGCTTCCCAGGCGTGTAAAGGAGGTTGTTTCTTTCTGGTTCCTCTCATTTATGCCGACTGATGGTTGTTGTTGGCCAGGTATCTTCATCGCGTCTGTTTTCTCTATGTTCACCTGAAGTCCTATCTTTGAGGCTTCTTGTGCCAACTTGTTGCTTTTCACTTGCATATCTTCCAGTTTGTGGGAAATCGAACATATTTATGCAGTTATTTAGGGACCCAACTCTTTGGCCAATGAATTCTAACTCCTACCAATTCGTGATTTTAGCGTGAACACCAGCCAATATCATCGGCGATATTTGTTCTCACTTCCGACTGGGTGGACCTCATTGGTTACGATTTATCACTAGGAATCCAGACAACTTTATCCTGCAGCTAGTCAGTGTCAGACTAATTTTCAAGATATTGTTTGTAGGGATTTGATTAGTTGTTAAACCATTCGATTATGTAAGGTTATCCACTATTTTTCACGCCTTGTTATTACTCATATAACGTCTGTCGTCAATTAATATTGTATATATTAATCCAGTGAATAGCAACTTTGAAGTGAAGTTACAAATAGAGGTCGCTTTGCGGACTTACACCTTCTCAATAACTAATTGTGTTTTAAGAAAATTAAGGTAGCTTTTACTCATGGAAAATCCCTATCGTAACATATAGAGAATCAAAACAAGTGATTCAGCGGAGAGACTGTTTTCAACGAATTTATCATCAAGCTGTACAGCCGTATATATATGGTTTTTAAGAAGTTATATCTGGTGAGGGAATTCAATCATAGGTGTGAATGCATAAGATAAAAATAATGGTATGAAATGCAATTAAAACTAAAATGTTTGTGATTATATTCATAGGTAAATGTCAAGTGGCAAAGCAAATTAATGTGATATGTAGAATAATAATTCCGCTGTTGACCAACTCTATGTGTGTTTATCAATTCATCTGCTCGTGTGGTGTGGAGCTAGGTATGTCGGTCGTTCTACTCGAGTTTTTTCCAAGAGGGTGGAAGAACAGTATCCTGCATGGTTACGAAGAGGTGGAAGTGGAGCAATTAGAAGTGCGATCATTGAACATCTGGTCGATAATGATCACCCTATCCCAATAGCCTCTGCCTTTAAGGTCATCTACAAGGCAAAAAGTAATTTACTGGATTCACTACGTACCCGACTCATCTGTATTGCTGAAGCTTTGGCTATCGAAACAGAAAAGCCAGAGTTCTGTGTACTGAAAAAGTTTGTTCAACCCCTCCAACTTTTATGGTTTTAATCCCTCTATGCTAAAGTGTGGTAATCCCTAATCATATTTTGGCTCTACTAATTTTTCATTTTGTCTGTTCAATTGTATTCACTTCCGTCATTACGTCAATTTTTACTATTACTACTCTCACGTTGAACTGTTCCCGGTATTATTTCACTTGTCATTCTAAATCAATTCTTTTTTACAACGTTAAATTCTATGCTATCAAATTTCACACAATATTGTGTAACGTTTTTATTTTATTCGATGTCTACTAATCCTATAATTGCACACGCCTTCCTCCAAGTAGCTTTTACTGTCTACTTTTTACGTCATTAGACAAAGACTGGTAAGCTCGTCAGAGAAATTGATGCAAAACGTTGTGCTGAAGTGTATTATTATTTTAGGTTGTCATCCTTCGTAATTGATCATTTGTCCCATGTTCTTGTGGAACCGATAAGAGCCATACACGTGCAGATATCACATAGAAAAGTTACATGATTTGGCGAGATGGTGCAAATAGTTCGAGGATCATTTATCTGAGGAAGTCATTTGTTTTATGAACTAACTAGGGATTGTAAAATGTATACACTGGTTTGCAGTGATGGAGGCGTGTTACACATATCAAAAGAAGTTTATTTTCGAGCAGCGTTACGACTCTAAGTAGTTACAATTATATCGGAGACAGATAGTTCTGAATTTAGTGAAAGGTAGTGTATTTCAGCAGTCAGTCATATACCAGTATGTGTAATACACACTGAACTGTAATACAACTGCTGCTCTATTACGAGTTTGTGTCACCTGAACAACAAAACACTAAAAGATGAAACGCATTTCTTTAAACTAATTAACAAACAGTTTGATATACAATGCACTTTTTAATTCGCAACTTTTAGGCAACAAATGCAATCATGAGAATCCAGTCTCGGTACGTGATCAAAAGTTGACTGGTTAGTGTGGTCAGTATTTCAGTGTATACTACTGATTATTACTATGGGTAGTCGGAACAGAAGTACTTGCCAATCAGTTTGAGGTGATCTGCACAGCAGACAGTTGTTTGGTATCCCACTCATTCACCACAGGTGGGGCCGGTTAAACTTCGGCTAAGAAATCCGATTCATTTCAAACCTCCCGACCGAAAGCTGCTACCTTGACGTGGTGGTCGGGCTTGAACACCGCAATGACCTATTCAAGCTATACCGGCTGAGACTTATGTCTCTTGAGGTTCTACCATGCTAGAAGGGATGTTTGGATAGCGGTTAAACAAAAGCAGCTACCCAATCCAACATAATGATACATAGAAAACCACACAATTTCATGCCGGCTCGGCCGTGGCCTGGATTAACAACGACCGCGCTCCCTGCTGCCATGTCACAGGGCAGGAGTGATAAATATGCTACTGAGACACACAAAACAACAAAGAACAAAAAAGCAGGCCGCGTGTGACCGGCCCCAAGCACTTGTCCCCTGGGCTCTGCGGTCACGCAACCAACTTCCACGGTGTGGGCAGCCGGGAAGTAACAATCGCCCTCACAATCCGAAATGCACGCGAAACCTCTCTATTACTCACTCATCTTTGTTTTCATCTTCATCTCTATCATCTTGCTTTCCTTCCACTGATGCAACTCCTCGGCTTGATAGCTCTCCACTATGCATTCACCAGAAACGATGGAAGCCAAAAAACCACCACCGACAGCCTCCTAAAGCCACTCCTTTGTCTCACACCTCTGATCACTGTCTCTATTATGCTTTTCGTGTACTTTCTTCTCTTGCTTCGCGTGCTACACGGAGTGTGGCGACTTGAACTGGCGCACATTTGTGCAAAGTTCTATGTCGAAAACAGACAGACAGACATTTCAAACCACTCGAATTCCAGCTAACTGGTGATACAATCAATGAAATTTGCAATTCGAGTGGTCATGTGTCTTCAGATAAATCTCGTTTTTCAATAACACTATCCAGACTAATAGTTTAAAAAAACCGTAAAAGTCGGTGATTATTATTGAGATTGCTGTGTTCTTTTATAATTTCACGGTGTTATCCGTCCAAATTTTTAAAATCGTAAAGTTGACCGGCGTTTTCAATGTCTGACCGCCTATCAAAAGTAATATATTCAAAAAGATGTTTTTTGTTCCCTTGGCAACTATTTATAGTGTCAAGAAGATCATGTATTATGATCTGAATATTTTTGCTTTCCGAAGGATTTTCATATTGAACTGCGTATTTTGGAGACGAACTAAGTTTTGCAACCTTATTCCTTGTTGTAAGCACTCATTAATTTGATAAATTTTCGAAAAAATATAAGGGGAACCAAGCTACCTGAGACAAGACACTTACAAGGCGATTGTTTACTGTGTACCCATAGAATAACTTTTATTCACTCCTGGAATACATTCACTTAGTCATTCGTGTGTATCCAATACAATCTTCATAAAATATTACTAATTCAGCGGTTATGGATTAAAACCGTATGCGTCTTTTAGATGACAGACATATCGCCTTTCATTAAGACCCATTCTACTTATATAACTTCGCCGGTTTCAGAGAGTACATCTCACTAATTAAGACGCATTATTCGAACTCACATAGCTGTTTAATAGCCTACAAAGAGTTTTCATCCGAGGTGATAACAGTCAGTGGTATCTGTTTGGGATGACCACTGCCCCACTTTGTTTAATTTTATTATAGATCTATTAGTGGATGTGACCCTAAATGACTTTATTGACTTGGAGATTGACTAGTTACCAGGGGATAGTCATGTCGACCTTTGAGTGTGTAGGTGATATTTTCCGCCTATGTGAAAATGTAGAGTCCTTTAAACACCTTTAGAATGAAGTCTTTGGATGTTTGACGTGCGATTCACTCATGAAAATGATGCTGTAGGATCTAACTGTGCCCCTTAGCAAGTTGCATCAGACATAATGCACTGATCGGTGACAAAATCTCACAACGGATACGAAAGGCTCGTGTGGTATTAGCCACACTACGTCATCTCTGACGTATAGTTCTTTTCCCCTTATAGTTATTCTTATTATCGTCCTACGAAATCTCCTTTTGGGCACCATGGAGTTTGGTAACTCAAGCTGTCTTACTTTGTGCAAAGTTCTATGTTGAAACTGATATGTATCCATATATATGTGTGTGTATGTTGGTCTCTCTTTCTGTTTGCTCTCTTAGTCTGTGACCATTTCACTTTGATGAACCTGTCTCCTTTAACAATGTATATTCTCCTTATATTATATATAATATGAGTGTTTGTTGACAGTCCGTTGCTTGGTGACATACATCCATATTATATGTGTGGTTGTTGACATGTCTGCTATATTTTGCTATGTATATATAGATCGATACTCCATTATAATTAGCCATTCATGTTAAGACTGTCTATTGATTTGTTCACACACTTGTCTGGACATTCATATATATTCCGCTCACACAATCTTGTGTGACTCTTCTTTGGTGCGATACCATTTTTGCATTCTCCTTGTGTTTGGAAAATAGAAGTATCATCGCAAACATAGTGGTCTTCTGATTTCCGTCTTTCTTGCGTCAGGACTATTAAATTCTCGACCAGTCCATAATAATAATTTAGCGACGAGTACATAACAGAAACCAATCAGTCATCAGTGTTAAATCGATTTGTTCACACTGAGATGATAAAAGCACTTTCACTCTGTATTTTTTCAACCTTGAAACGTTCAGGTTTACTTAGTAGTACTAACAAATATAACATGTCTAACTGTGATTTGATTAAGTGTCAAACTTCGTATTGCCTTATGAAAAAGTATAAAGCGTGATTACTCACTTTTATAACCTCAAACTTATAGCTTTATTACTACTGATTTGTTAAATTTCAATGTATTTATACCGATAAAAGATATATACAGCAGATATAAAGCTTACTGACAGTTAAATTTAAATAATATTTTCTTATAAACAGCATTACACTGATGATATAATACTCTCCCTAGGTGGTAGAAGTAACAGAGAAGTTGTAGATATAGCTTCTTTTCTTGTTAGGTCGTCTCGAGGTTAGCTGACTAACTAACTAGATGACAGGCAGGTGGAAGTTATAAAGGAGACATCTGTTTTTTTCCATGTATTTAATGAGTCCTACCAGTAGACAATAGAGTGCGATCGCAACTTCCAGCTGTTATTACTCATCCGACATTGAATACGCCAGCGATGTATCATTAAGACTAATCAGTACAAGATATGGTCCATGTCTGTTTTCGACATAGAACTTTACACCGATGTGCAGCAGTTCAAGTCGCCACACTCCCTCCATGTAGCACACACAGCAACAGAAGAAAGTAGAAGAAATGCATAATACAGACAGTAAGCAAAGGTGTAAGACAAAGGAATAGTAATAACGAAGCACAATATAGTTTCATTGGAAATCACAAGTCACAAGGAGTGGATGCATCTGCCAGTCACTGAGAACGATTTTGAGCCATGTCACCAATTGTTTCCAACCATTGGTTTTTACCGTCTCAAGGACCCCAGCCTGGAAGTCTACACCTTCCTACCTGGTTCAAACTAACTGTTGTGGATTTCATTGACTGGTGCTGCCGCGTTTTTGGTTTGACCACCACTAGCTAACTCTTTTCCAACCTGATCCTTTGTCGTATGTCAGCTAA